TTCATCATCGGGTCGTGCCGCACGCGTACAAAACCCGCGCGTGCAAAACGCACGTTTCGATGCATCACGATCGCGTCTTATTCGAACGGTTCGCTCTGCTGATAACGAGAGTCGGGAAATCATCGTTTAGCGCAAAACGTTTATGTAACAATCATGTTACGTGATATGCAATTTTAGACAAATTAATGGGGATTTTCCTTCGTAAAATAGCTACAATGCGTCGACTGAATAACAAGAAAGATAAGAATATAAAATTTATTAATTTTGCCGAAGAGAGATATTATAATAAATATCTAAATAAATCATCAAGAATAACGAATTATGAAAATACGCATCATACGTCAGTATCGATTGCACTATTAATCGCAAACATAAAGTTACATTTTGTTTTTATTATATGGCGTAATTTTTTTTTAATAACGCCCACTTTAAATAGTTCATCAATCAATCTGATTTTTGTAAATTAATCGACAAAAAAGGTCTTACATAAGTAACTAAAATCATAGCTTCTCTCGAAGCGGTTCTAACCGCATTTTTGTGAAATGGTGCAACCCGCAAGACGTTTCAGTAGTGTGTATCCGATTGATTGGAGGAATCCAAATCGGTATTTGCGCTTTTCAATCGTATTGAACTCGTTAAGTATTACTCAACGCTCTAATAAACACGCGACTCGGTAAGGTGCCTAATTGCGAAACACGATGTTTAATAATGTATGCGCGGTAGATCGACTAAGTATATATGACAGTGCGCGACAATCTTTCTGAGACAATCATTATTACTTGTGAAAGAGTCGATCATAATTTGATGCAAATAATATGATATATATCACAAAAAATAAAACATGAAACTAAATTTTTCAAAACAGGAGAGAACAGCAAAATGTAACGCTTTTTATATTTATTCCACGAAATTCGAATAAACAATTATTAATAAATTATACTTTTTTTACTTATGTAATTTTTTATATAAGTAACATTTATTTTTTATATAAGTATTATTTTTTATATAAGTAACATTTTCTACATAGCAGTTTTTAAAAAATTGTAATCTACTTTTTTAAATTTTAAAATACTAGGGGTTGTATAAAAAATACAGATTGTATAAATTGTAATTTTAATTGTAGAAATTTATAATATAATATATTAAGTAGATTCGAAATTGATTTAATTGACGTTTCTATATGCACTTCTTTTCCTCCTTTTTATTACATGTAACTTGATTAAATAAACGTCGATAACATAATCATCACACGGTTATTTTTATTCGTTACGTCTTCTATATCCAAGAGTGAAAAATCAAAATATTAACATAAACGATGCGAGAGTGAGATTAAAACGAGGGAAAGAAAGAAACGTAGGCTCGGGAGAAATCGTGGTGTGTGATTTCAATGAAAACTACATCGAACAACGATTGAAGTTGCATTACAAAATTCGCAGAGCGCTTCCTCCGCCAAAAGGAGCAGGTACGACGACGTGTGGTTGCGGCGCGCCTCGTCGTGTGTAAACCATTTACGTAACGGCGCGAGATACGCCGTATTTCGATGATTAACAATTTGTTTTGCGATCGGCAAAGGTGACTCTTTGTACGGCACAAATACCTTACGTAAGACAGCAGATAAACGCGCGTATGCAGCTGGAGATTAAGCGCGCGGAGCTTTTCGGATTTCGAGACGAGACGCGATCAGTTTTCGACCGCATCCTCCGCAACGATCGCCGTGTTTACAGACTGAACGAAACGCTAGACTGCCAGACGCATATACTGTTTCTTATTGTGCATTTTGATATGCAATTAATTGTTCATTCCAAAATTTTTCATACAGCGACTTATTTTCTTGAAAAGTATCCATATTTTGAATCATTAAATAAAAGTGTATAGAAGCAGAGCAATGACATTAATCAATAAATCTTTAAGATACGTGTTAGCCAAAGATATTCTCACTCCATCTCGTACAATTAGGAAATAAATTTATTGAACTTAGAATGCAAAACAGTTATGGAAAATTATTACGACCAAAGGTGTGTCACTGCAGTTTTCAGTAGAAAGACACTACTACTTAAAATTGTAACATATTCAATAAATCGAAATAACCGTATTTAATAATTATTGATTTATCAATGTTTTTGTGAATCAAGTAAGTTCCAATTATTTATTTATTAAATGTTTACTTGGATATTTAACATTTCACTGTTAAACAACAAAGTCATTACGTTACTTATGTCTTGCTTGTCCTCTGTGTCATGAATATGTAATCTAAATATCTCGAGCATCATCATCATGTAAGAATATGCAGTATTAAACGCGTATTTATTATTCCGACTATTGACAGTCATCCGTTTCACATTCTGGCATAACGATTATGCACATAATTTTGAATGCACGCAATTGAGTCATACAGCGTAAATGACACAAATAAGGGTGACAAAGGAGCGATTGTTATAGTTCTTAAACAATGATTTTTAGAAAAAAGATAATGTATGAAGACTTCAAAATACCATTTACCATATGTATATAATACATATAACGACATCTCTTAAGTACTAAAAAAGAGTATTAATTTTAAATATAAATAACTTATTTATATAATGATGTAATTACGTTATAATGCAAGTACATTACAACGATCCAATCAAATTAACGTTAGATTTAATTTATTGTTTTTTGTATCACTTGTGCGGTTTATCTGTGGCAAATAATTAGATCTAAATTGCAACTTTTTATAATATGCACGGGCTGTTAATTGAAAAATCATACATTAAAAAATAAATTAAGAGATTACAAAATTTTCTATTGTTAGACTATAGTATTAAATTCATACTAATCAAACACGTCCATTATTTAAAGAGTTAACGCTACAGGTTTAAAATTAGAACTACAAAACAATCAAAATAATTCAAATTTATAACG